GGCCCAGGTCAGCAAGATCAATCCTAGAAATTCCCGGAGTAAAGATACAAAGCCTTTCTGTGTGGGTGATGATATTTCCCCTTCACCAGTCCCTAGCTCCAAAGATATGCCTGCCATGTGCACTCGGCATCTTCGCCGCGTGGTTTGCTGAGGCTGGGCGCTGGTTTCTGCTTGGCAACGATGATGTCGTCGAGAGGAGCTCGGGTCGCGGCGTGGACTTCGGTAGTCGGTTCTTCCCGGCGTGTCCGAGGTGCTCTTAGGGCACGGCCGGCGCAAGTCCTGCATATTTCCCTGCTGAGGCTTGTCATCAAAGTCGGAGTGGCGGTTGCTTGCGCGTGTGGCCATCCGGTGGCAATGTGCCGTCGTGGCTTCTATGCAGCTGTTTGCGGGTTGGCTTCGAGGTTGGAGCTCTATGGTGAAGTCGGAGTCGCTCGTTTGAGGCAACCGGTGATGACGATGACACTTGCGACTCCTCGGCGAATGCCTTTCTTTGTTGCACCTTTGTGTCCCATGTCGGTGGCTAGGCTGGCCGGTGGTGCCCATGTCATGTGGGTTGAGTTGTATCAGTTTTAGCCCGGTTTTCCGTCAATTAACCGGGCAATTCTCTTCTTAATTAATGAAAATGGCAAATCTTTTGCCTCGTTTAAAAAAAATAACTTTTTTGTCACTTCCAGCGTTTGTTAATGTTTTATAGGTGTTTGTCTATGTGTGTGTCAAATATTTTCAAATATCAAGAGTGTTTCTCGAGAAAGGGACCTCTTGAGAGGTTTTATCTGTTCGACACTTGACTAATAAACTACTTCCTCCGTCCCGAATTACTTGTCGTAGAAATGGATGTGTCTAGACGTATTTTTGTTCTACATACATCCATTTCTATCCACTTATGCGACAAGTAATTTGGGACGGTGGAAGTATATAACAACCGGTTCAGGTTTCTGATGCATCCCATCGTGATATATCCATTAACATCAATGCATCCCATCTTCTTGATACTGGGAACTATGGTCCAATACAGAGGTTTTCCGGCCAATTTATCTTCGAATGAAAAATAAAGAAAGGGTACTGCACATTGTCATTTGCCTGACCACCACTGCCCTAGCTTGGAATTCACTGTGCATTCTTCTTCTATCCAGTGGCCATATGGTGTAGTATAGTGCACTATGACGCCGGGACCTGCTAGTGAAGCGCACGACACATTAATTGTTTCTTTCATCTTGACACGGATAGCATAACAATTCTATACTGATCACATGCAATTCTCCTGCATGGTTGAAAAATGTATTTTAGATCAGTATATATCTTCACGATAATGCTAGTACCATAATGTCCCTAATGTTTTATTTGCCGAGGTTCTGTTTTAGTTGATAAAACCTGAATCGTCACTTGCATATACACATTGTTGCTTCAAGATAACCTTTTGATTAGAGTGGAACTCCGTTACGAAGAATGAAAGGAAGCCTTTTGTGCTAGACGTGAATGGCTAGCTAATCCTCAATCATTCTGATAACACGATTTGTGGTTCAAGATATTTACTGTTAGCTAATCTAGATCACATCTCACCCAGATGCATCCATTATTCCCCACTGAATAGGTATAAATTAAAGAGCCCGAAAGGATCAAGTTACTGCTTTTTCCATGTTTCAAAACCAAAAACCATTTATTTTTTCTAAGGGAGAACAGAAGCCAATAAATAGGCTTCCCTGATACATATTCTTGCCGTTCTTGGCGGAATGTTCGTTGCTTGTGGTGGTAGCGATGGCGGTCATGCTCGCCAAAGGTGAAGCTGGACGTGGGGAAGCTGGAGGAGAACGTCAACGACCTCCCAGATTGATATGTCGGTGCTGCACTTTTATAGCATGTTAGAGGGCGGGACATTCGTCGCCTGCATGTATGGCACTATTTAGGTGTCGTTTGAAGTGCTACAAAAGGATTTACGATCCTAGCGCCATCAGCTCTGGTCCGATAGGAATTACACTTCATCATTTTCTTGACCAATTCCTAGCTACAGAGTAGTCGATCGCACTGCTCACATAGGAACACACCAACATCTTACAGAAATTGCAGGTAGCTAAGTAAATGATGAAGTGTAATTCCTATCGGACCAGCCTCTTCTCTTATAGAAATTGCATGTAGCTAAGTAAATAATGTCTTTTTGTTTCACTCCAACATCTTATAGAAATTGCAGGTAGCTAAGTAAATCCACCAAGTGCAACACTACATAAGCTTCCATGCTATAGTTTGTTGGCTAAGTACTATTTGCTACTCCCTCTGTCCCAAAATATAAGAACGTCTCTAACACTACACCAGTGTCAAAAATGTTTTTATATTATGGGA